CATTGTTTAAAACATTTAAGATATTTCAAATCACAAACACGATTGCTGGATCCGATTCTGCCCATTATCCTGGTAAGTGAGGACACTCAATAACATAGTTTGTTACAATCGCATAGTAATAGTAATCATAGTTTGTTAGTGAACAATGTTTCACTTAATATGTCACTCACTTCCGTTGGGTTGTGGCTTTTTCCATTGTGCTGTGGCTTTTTAAATTCACTGATACCACCATATTGTCCCCTTTGCTGGGCTTGTGGTAAAAATAGGTGAGACCATGACTCTCTAGTGAAGCAATGCTGCACCTTGAGGCGTTCAGTGTAGCCACTCTACACTAATTGGTGCCGAAATAAAAATCAAGACGTTCTACAGGCGGTGTGAACAAACTGTCAGCCTTGGTACATGGGGCGCAAGCTCTACCAGGTAAGCCATCTGGGCGCCCCAAGACACGCTGCTTTTTTAGCTGCTTTATTCAGTGTTTTTACTGGTTTTAATGAGCGGGTCCGTTTGTTCTGGAGAGGAGGAGACCTCTGCGGATAATTTAGCCCCTGGCAGAAACCTTGTGAACAATGAACACTGAAGAAATCCTAACAGGGAGAAGCTGACTGCAATGACAGCAACAAAGATTATATATCGTAAACATAAATAATTTCACAATAATAACTACATGTCAAAGAGGCTTTATGGCATCCAAGTGAGGCTCATACAGGTGCTAAAGGGTCCTGTGTATGAGACATCAAGAGGACAAAGTGTTGGTATTTGACGAGATGGGATGAGAATTGGTGGGACCACTAGCTTAGTTACTCTGACAGCCACTGAAGAATTCTGTGGTTTGTAAAAAGATGGCAGGTGTGGACAGTGAGGTGGTCTAATAAGGCTACATCTTCAACAAAGCAGCAGTGGCAGGGGAAGGAAGGCAGGAGGGGAAGGGGGTGTGTTCTTGGGACTGCTCTCTGCTGCACTGTGAGAATAATGCATTCTTTGGCAGCTAAAATGCTAACTATTTTAGCAGTGCAAAGTCTCCTAAATGCCAAAAGGAAGGGGATAACGCCATACTGCCTGATATGGGCTGGCAAAACCATAATATGTCATCTGCACTGCTTTATAATGCAGAAACAGTCAGTCAATCACGTTTCATCTCAAATTACAGGAACTGGGGAGGAGCTTGCAATGAAACACTGCACATAATGGAGGTGATGGGGATTCAGTATTGCACAACAGGCAAAATATGCGTCTGGCCTGCAAGAATCTAACAGCTCAAGGAGAATCTTTTTTAACTGGCGGATGGTGATGCAATGTACGCTATTTCTATTTTTTCATCTTATATGTCATCATAATTCCCTGCATTCAGCAATAATACTAAATTACCAAAATTGCGCCTTAGGCTTTCAGCAAAAAAGTGCAGTTACGACAGAATTTTGAGTAATAAAAAAGGAAGATGTGATTATTGTGCAGGACTTTGTGTCTGGGAGAGAAACTGTGTCTTCAAGTTGTGGCTAGAGGAGAGCCGAGAGCCAGAGGGAAACACTTGATGGTTGGAGGACTGAAATTCTCTCTGACCTTCAATGTCATTGTCTGTACATGCAGGAAAAGACAGTGGAGGTTGTGGGGAAGAGGATGGAATTAGTGGGGGTTTTAATTGTGAAACAAGCCCAGACTTCAAAGGGGAAGAGAGAGGAGATGAGGACTGAAGTGACAGAGATACAAGAAAGAGAAAAACACATAAAGACATCCAGGGGAGGGATAGATACAGGAAGGAGGATTGGAGGATGAGACAAATGGAGGGAAGGGGGCGGGGTCAGTCCTCTGGCTACTAATCATTGGTCTTTAACTTGTTGTCTTGTGTTAATTTTCTCTCTTGTCTTGTTCAGTCTTTCACTGATCATATCAGGCACAAAAATCATGCAAAGACATTATCAGAATTAACCCGACCATGCGATTGATTGGCAGATAAAGCTGGATGACAAAGCTAGCAGTAGCCATTCATAGAGCAAAGGCAGTGGTAAGGGGGCATGGTGAGGGTTACAGGGGATGAGATCCAGGATTAGGCACCTACCCAGGTCCTAGTATGCTTCAAACTAAGTGGTTGTCAGATCGCTCAACTGCCCCATTAAATCCCCTCCTAATACACCTTTCTGTCAGGGTTTCAGTGGGTTGCGTCTATCAAGTTTTGATACTTTTCCACAACCGACATCAAGACACGTTCCGGCTCTGCCGGAGCTCATTGCGCCCATTCTACGCAGTCCTCAATATTCCACCAGAAGTGCCGCAGCATGTCCCAACTTCCCCCCTCCCCTCTGCTCAGCGTAGAATATGTGGCTGGTCTATTTTTGACAAAAGCCATAAGCCACTTGTGTCAAGCAGCAAAGAGCAGGAAGTCAAACACAGAAACGGCATAGAGAATCCAGTCAATTTTCAAAATAAAATACTACTTTTGCAGACTCCAGATCTCATTTCCCACCAGAATTCACTGGTTTGAAGCATACTAAACCCTTTAGGTTGCAGTCAAGCACAATCTGGTGAAGTTGAAGAGCTGTTGGCCATAGCCTCCTAGAGCCATTCTTTATATTGCTCTAAAGAAAAGCTGGACAGTGTTGAGTGTTGAACCCTGTGCCAGGAAGAACCAGAATAAAGTACCTTTACCTCAGACACACCACCAACTACTCTGTATGCATGTACAACTGTGGACATCCTCCCCTGAACACACATACACACATGCACATCAGTGAAATAGGAAAACAAAATTCTAAAGTGTCTTGTCTCTCAGTGACTGCAGTTACGCCATGCTAAAGGACTGTAATAAAATGGAGAAAGCCAACAGCACCACCAAATGGAGGATTTCTGTACAGTTCTAGATGATTAAGTGCACTGTCAACATATTCTTCATGGAGAAAAAAATATATATTTAATTAATATTTCATATTATATATCATATATATATAACAACAACAGCACAAAACAAAAGCTAAAATGTGCAATTAAAAGTTAATGTAAAAAAAAATTTGGATGAATTATTTGCATACTTTTCTAATGCAAGAGGCTGTTTGGCAGAGAGTGAAGGCTCTGGGAATGTAGCTTTGTTCAGGTCTTCACTGTGCCCTTATCCTTTTCTAAAAGTTTATTACCCTAACCTGAAAAACATAATCTAAACTTCAAAAATAACAATTTAATTTGGTTTTCTTCACAGAAAGGAATAAAATGCTGAGATACATGCCTACTTTACATTTTTGTAAAAAAAATTGAATGCCCCTTTTGTAAGGGGCATTCAATTTTTTTTACAAAAATCAAGAAGGCCTCGCAAACCCCTGTGAAGATTTGGCAGCCCAGTGTTTTATTTAAACACAATAAAAACTGAACGCCTTTTATAGTTTTGCTCTTGTATTATGAAGGTTTGCACTTCCAGTGTTTGATGATGATGCAATTTGATCTGCGTCCTTCGTTCCTTGCTTCCTTTCCAACAATGCTTTGATGGCACTGTGTTTGAATTGGTATTGCTAGGCTGCACATGTTATGGTCCAGAGGTAGAACCAAGTCATTGTTTTGTAAGCCCCAAGTTAAAGGTCCTGTGTGTAACATTTAGGAGGATCTATTGTCAGAAATGGAATATATAATATTAATAGGTATGTTTTCAATACTGTATATTAACCTGAATATAGGAATTGTTCTGTTCTTTTCGTTACCTTAGAATGAGCCATTTTTATTTACAGACCCATGAGTCGCCTTGAATGTAGTATGCCATGTTGAACCACCATGTAGCCCAAACCAAACACTGGCAACATAATATTATATTATACAGGAATTCAGTAAAAGTAACTATTTCTTCATGGCTCTTACTATTTAGGAAATTAAGGGGGAACAAATTGAAACACTTACTATATATATACTTCTTAATCTTTGGGTTTGGGGGAAGGTATCAAGTAAAAGTCTTTTTCAATTTTGTTAAGTCATCAAATTTGTGATTCAAGTCTGAATCTGACTCATGTACACACCTCTGTTAAAGTCTATGAACATTTTAAATAATGGAAAATATATAAATATGGACAAATGTAACCTATTAACTTTTTAAATGATGATTCACATTGTACAAATTCAGCAAGTCAGGGATCAATCATCAGCCATTGATCTTTTAGAAAAGCAGATGCTCTAGCCACGAGGGGTTATTCGGTAAAAGAAAAAAGACGGGAGAGAATCTGTAAGTGCTCATTACTAAACTGAGTGAACAAATTCATAAAGTGAGTGAGTGCATGAATTAATGAAGTGTGAAAACAGACTGCTAAACTGAGCTCAAAGTTTTTTAGTTTAGCTCACAGTAAGTAAAGCTTCTGGAATATGCACAGGGCATTTAGAATAAAGGAGGGCAATTATAATTTGTTAAACTCTCGGGATTTCAGTCCTAACTAAGTGAAAGCACACACTAATAATAGGTGTCAGACTTTATTTTTTCAACCACATGACCAGAGCGATCTGTACAAATGTGATGATAATACATGAGAGACACATAATGGTGCTAGCTCCTACCGTGTCCCAAATGTTCCAAGTATTTTCATATCCTGAAAGTGTAGCTGAGGCTAACATTAGGAGTGAATAGCCGGTCACTTTGTAAACTAGCATAAAAAGTTTTAACAAAGAGTTTGCTCAGCTTTACTGAGCTGTCTTTACTCAAGGTACAAGTCAATTAGGCAATAAAGTTATGTTTAATGGAACAGTCTGACATTTTAGAAAAATCCTCTTGCATGACATGAGTCAAGTGAGAAGAATGGCATCAGTTTCATCTCTATGTGCACAGAGATAGAACAGGGATGTGTTTAGCCTAGCTTAGCACAAGCAGGGGAAGCTGCTAGCAGAGCAACATCACATAAAAAAAAACACACCTTTCAGCACCTTGGAAGCTTTATACTGACACAGTCTATATGGATGATCTGACACTGGATGAAATGATGTCTACTCAAGAATAATCAACAGTACTGCTGCAGTGTATTTCCTCCCCAGGTTGCTGGACTCACCGCTGGTTGCAGCTGGCCGTTGATGCTCGCAGTGCGGAAAGGCGAGTTGGTGGAAAGACGCTTGTCCCACTCACTGGGCCGAGGCTCTGGTACAGACTCCATAAAACTCCTCTTCAGCTCACTGATGCTAGTGTGATGACGCATGATCTCAGTCTGGGTCTTATCCAGGTCCTTCAACAAAAATGCACAAGTCAGAATATGTACATGCGAGGGAAAGAATGTAATAGGAGAGAAAAAAGGATGATAGAAAAAGAAAAAAGGGGAGAGAATGTGAAAAGAACATAACATACGGAAAAAGAAATGTTTATTAAAATAGAGAAAGGAGACAAATATCCAAAAAATAATGAATCACCCACATTGGAAAAGTAAGTTGTAAGAACAATTTGCAACCCTTTCAATATGTGGCAAATTATTCTTTTATTCAGTGTGGCTCTTTCAAATGACATGCTGAGGTCTTAGAAGTAGATATTGTTCAGACACACCCGACATCATACTGCATTGGGAGGAGTCATCATCTGTCCCCTGTGATCCATATTTCAGCCCAGCAGCAGTCACTGACTACGTTTATATGCACAAAATATTAGGTTTTTTGCCCGTATTTTGAAAAAGACAATGATCCTATTAAGCCTGTTTACATGACTAATGAAAATGAATATTCTACTACCGTTTACCTGCAACTCTGCATGCTCTGATTAACCCAACTGTCCAACAAACTGTATGTCCTACAGAGGATTTTCCCTCCTTTTCAAACCAGTGTTTGTGCTGGAACCATTCTCCTTCTTTTAATCAAAAGAGGATTTTTTCAAAATTGACCAACTTGTTTGACAGCCTCCCTCCTTCATTTGTTTAACCACCTTGTTGAGAAGGTCGGCGATGCGATATTTCTGCATATCACAAAACCTGTTAATGTCCAAGTCTTTTATAATGTTTAAAAATAAGGTGTGTTTCTCCTTCCAACAAGAAATGGGGGCTATTCTTCTGTGTATCAGGCAGGCCAACTGCAGTGAAATCCCCAAATGCTCCATTCAATAAGGCCTTCTTAGAAATATCCAAATATGCTGTTTACATGACCCTTATCAAATGCAGAAAATTGTAATGTTCTGAATAATGTGGAAAATTAGTGTGCATGTAAATGTAGACACAGCCATTTTTAAATCTCCCTCATGTGGGTCATTGTAACAAAAATAAAGCAGCACATGTGCAGAGGATGACTCCTGATTAGTCGTTACTAATAAAGGCACCAGTTCACTGGCTCACAGATTATAGCTTTTGTCAATGCCAGCAAGAGGCGATATGTAATGACAAGCAACATAGGAGCACATGGTGAGCAGGTCTGATGGAACCAAAGCAACGAACATCCAACCTCAGTTGGATATAGGTGCAGGACAAAGGCAGTGTACAAAGGAAAAGGGGAGGTAGCCTGTACACTGAATATTGCTCCAAAAGTTCCAGTAAATTAGGATAGAGAGTGAAAGAAATTAAGTAGCTTAGGCAATTTTTGTGAATTACAACACTGTATTTTTTTACATGAATGAACTTCTATATGTAAACACCGATCAGCCATAACATTATAAGCACTGACAGGTGAGTGAGTGTGATATGTTAGGCAGCAAGTAAACATTTAGTCTCAAACTGACTTTGACAAGGGCCAAATTGTGAAGGCTAGACAACTGGGTCAGAGCATCTCCAAACAGCAGCTCTTGTGGGATGTTCCTGGTTCGGCAATGGTCAGTACCTATCAAAAGTGGTCAGAGGAAGGAAAAGAACCGGAGACAGGGTCACGGGCAGACAAGGCTCACTGATGCACATTGGGTGTGAAGGCTGGCCCATGTGGTCTGATCCAAAAAATGAGCTACTGTAGCTCAAACTGCTGAAAAAGTTAATGCTGGTTCTGATAAAAAGGTGTCAGAACACACAGTGCATCACAGTTTGTTGCGTATGGGGCTATAAGTAATTTCCCCCTGGGATTATTAAAGTATTTCTGATTGTGATTGTGATTGTGATTGTGATAACACTATGACCACCAGGGTCACCACCCGGTGGTCATAATATTATGGCTGATCGGTGTATACTGTTATGGCTACCGACAGTTATGTTTATGTGTTATGTACATGATAACTGTTTTTGGATGAACAGTGTTACTTTGTACTAAAGGGTATGGTATGTACTATTGTAGGCCAAGCTGTTCTTTTTGTCTATCTGCTTTTATTTACACGGGTGTTGACCTGATGAAGACCTTAAAGGTAAAACGTTGTATAATTTATTGGATGTTTGCAGTATTCAGTGTGTTGTTTTTTTTTCTTTGTGGAATCATAAACATTCCCATGCTTTCCTTCTCAATCAAACAGCTTAAAATTATTAAATGCTCTGCTTGCCATCTTTAGGGCTGGGCAGATTCTAAGAAAGGCTAAAAACATCCTGAGCTCCTGGAGATACAGTAGCTCTGCACTGGACACACAGAGATGAAACTGATCTGCTCTTTGGAAGTTGTTCCCCAAAATGTCCAAATGTTGTTTTAATCACGTAAAATAGCAGTGTGATAGTGACCACCAAGTAGAGGATTAATGTACTGCATATTTAAAAGGTCCAGTGTGTAACATTTAGGAGGATCTATTGGCAGAAATGGAATATAATATTTAAGGAATGTTTTCATTAGTTCATTTTTAAGTTTCATTAATCACCTAAAAATAAGAATTTTGGTGTTTTCATTACCTTAGAATGAGACATTTTTTTTATCTACAGTGGCCGTCATGTTTTTACAGTAACCCAGAACAGACAAACCTGCTGCCACCATAGTTTCCCCTACACACTTCACAGCCCATTCTCATTCCCATGATGCCAGCAGTGTTCGGTTAGTTGCAATCTGCAACTTTACCACTAGATGCTACTAACTCCTACACACTGGTCCTTTAATTGACTATTTGATGGGTGGAAGGCAGGCTGAATGAGTGGTAGGCTGAATCGGGGAAGCAAACACATATAGTACAGATACATGAACAGGGGTGTGACATGTCACATTTGTAGCAGGCTGAGGTTGTACCCAGAACCCAGGTATGGCTGTAAAAACAAAACTATGAGCTCTAAGGGACCAAGAAACTCAGCAGAGCTGCAGAGATTGCTACTAATTTTCTGTGAGTTTGTCACTCTGGTTGTATTCAGACAGCAGTTAGATTTTTTTTGCTCATATGTGATTTTCTCAGATATTATTTTTTTCAGTGTGAACAGCACAAACCACATAGAATATTATCTTCTGACCACTGTCATGTGTTGTCCAAACCGATACAGTCATATCAGAATTTTATGTTATGACTTTTATGTCACTCTAGACTGACATTCGTCATGCAGGTCACTTCAGGACCATGACCTGTTCACACTGGAATCTGATATGGGCCACATTTAAAAAATAATGTGAACAGTCAAACAAAACAAAAAAATCTGAGCAATAAATCAGAATTGACTGCTAAGGCTTGCAGTTTGAACAGCCGATGGGTTACTACACTTCACTACATGTAGTACTTTGATACAATAAGAATTTAAAATATTAATATACGTAATTAATGCAGCTTTAAAAGGGAAATTAATTAATATGAGTTTCGAAAACTCTTGTAATGTAACATGTCATCCCTCTCTGATTACAGTAATCAGGCAAACAGAAGTTCAGAGTCACATTGCCAGAGAGTCGAATATAATAAAAACAACAGCAGTGTGAAGAATCTGTTAACTTTTCACTGAGACATATTTGACTGGGAAAGAACAATAAAGTAATTTCTTTTTTTCTCTGATCTGTCTGACAGTGTGGGAGCAAGAGATATTTTTGGGTAAGGTTTGTGCCATCACCCTGACTCTGATAATAACCAGTACATTACATTTATTTAGCTGATGCTTTTATCCAAAGCAACTTACAGTAAGTGCATTCTGCCATGAGGATACAAGAGTCATACAGTACATCAACTTTTATCAAAAGTGCTCCACTGCTTCAAGTGCTATATTTAGAAAAAGAAGTTAGTTAAAGAAATTTTATGGGCCAAGGTACAGTCTGAGCAGATGCGTTTTCATATATAATATATACTGTAGGTTATTTTTAAATATTATTCTTAATATTATATTTTATTATATATTCTTAATTATTCTGACCACTATAAAGGATATATTCATCATAGCATATTTGCTTGTCTTTCCACGTCTTTCGACAACTTCAGCAAGTGTATTGCGAGTCCAGACAATGATGTCATAGCTTACTGTATATGTCAGACAATTTCACTCACGAGTTGTTTGTTTCAGCACAAAAGGACAAGCTGCATTAACAGTTTAAACTTTGGTGAAAAAGAGACCTTTCCCAATCATATATTTCATAACACAAAAATATTAAATGACAAAGACGATGTCAAAGTGAAGTGAGGCTACTTGCATGAGAATCAGAGAGGAAAATAGTGCATGCCAAGCCTTTAGGGTTAAGCTGAAAACAAGGCAAGAAATGAAGAGAAACAAAAAAGAAAATCAAACGTCCATGCAGGCATAAAAACATGATGGCAAACAGGCAGAAAATATATCTGTAGACTGAAGATACAAACCTCCAACATTAAATTGCTATGTCTGATATAAATAGTTTCACCCTCAAGTTTCTTAGCTCTTTTCTGTGGAAAATTAAGAAAAAGGGAAGAGTTGGTTGGAAATAATGCAGAATTAATTCAAACATCTTAATAATTTGCATTGCAGTTGAATCCATTGAGTAGCGATGACCGTGGCAATGACACAAATCACAAAAAAAAAAAGAGCTACGGAGTTGCAGGAATACTGCAAGTGTAGGTGTCTGCTCCCAGCTCAGTGGGGGTCAGTTAAGGAATTCAGCTACACACACACCAGTCGTGTGTATGAGAAGCCAGGCAGATACACACTCACTGTTATGAGTAGAAGTCACATGCTTCATGCAAAGGCTGCTGCAGTGCAGTGTACAGGAGGAGAAACCTCACACTTATTGATACCAATGAGCTAACAGAAAAAATATGATCTATCTATTTTTAATTTAATAAATCCGTGGGCTTAAGCGAGTATTCAGCGTTGATGAGCATCTGGAACAGATAATGTACTTTTTACTAGAACAAGTATCAAACGAGTTAAATATGTCAATATCCGCACTTTAATATACTATACTATTATAAGAATATACCAAGCTTTTTCAGTGTTGTGTGGGGAAGAGCGGAGCGACAGAGGTGCTGCTCACTGACAGACAGCTACTTGAGCCCGAGGAGCTCTGCAGAAGAGAGACAGAGCTTCTGGAAGAATAAACATCCGTTGTCACACCAGATTCTGCTCTTATCTGAGAACTTTTGGAATTAAAAAGTGGATTTAGCTTCACTCTTGCTTCTCACCCTGTCTTCTGCCATCTGTGTGCACCCAGAGCTCTATGATACCACTTCATATTTATAGAGACTGGATAAAAAGGACAATGACAATTAAAGCACTTTAACACTGAATGCCACATTCGCCCTTTCACACACATTCACTCAGCAATGGCAAAGCCCATTGAACAGAAACTAACACATTCATACACATTTACACACCGTTGCACAGCATCAAGAGCAAATGGGGTTCAGCATCTTGCTCAAGGATACTTTGACATGTGGCAGGAGAAGCCGGGGACTGAACCAACAACCTTCTGATTAGGGGGCGACCCGCTCTTCCTCTGCACCACAGCCGCTCCTATGTGGATGATACCCAGTTATATCTATCGATTAAGTCTAATGAAATGAATCAATTACCTAAACTAAAAGTATGACTTAAGGTCATAGATCACCTGCAATTTTCTGATGTTAAACTGCAAATAAAACTGAAACTCATTATCTAAAGATATAGTTACTCTAGATGGCATTACCTTGGCCTCCAGCACCACCATCAGGAATCTTGGTATTATCTTTGATCAGGATATGTCCTTCAACTCCCACATAAAGCAAACCTCTAGGACTCCCTTTTTTTCACTTATGTAACATTGCAAAAATCCCAAACCCTGTCACAGACAGATGCAGAAAAACTAGTCCATATTACTTCTAGGTTGGATTACTGCAATTCCTTATTATCAGGCTGCCCCAATTAGTCCATTCCTCTTCCTTTCCCTTTCTTTCTGCACACATTCATGTCCCATTAATGCATTTTACTAACTTGACTTCTTCCCCGTAGTTTTTGTGCTTTCTCGTCTCAAAGAGTTCTCATGGATCCAGGTGGTGCCTGCTGCCATGGTTCTGATTGAGGAATGGATTAGCCCTGCCAACTTACGGTTTAAGCACCACCCACATTGAATTTAAATCCCTAAACATCTTCTATGTACACTTCAAGACTAACATTACCATCAGCGGTCAAGCCATCACATCCAGCGAGGAAACCCCTGCCGGTGAGAGGCATGCAGTCTTTGTCTCAGCACACAAGGTGATGAGAAGCTTCAGGAGAGTGAACACTAGACTAATTAAACATGGTAGTGGTGGGCGGATCGATCCAAAATATTGATATATCGATGCAACGTTGGTATTGATATTAATCGATACCAGTGTAATGAGATCGATACTTTAGTTTCAGTTTCTGTCTTGTCCGCGTAGCTGCCGAGGCGACCTGGCTGTCCGTCTCTGTGTAAGTGCCTTTGAGTGCCGCTCCTGTCACAGCGCGGAGCAGAGCCAGGCACACTGCTCCTCCTCCCCCCTCTTGTGCTTTAATGTCACGTGACCCAGGTAAACAAGCAAGCAGGTCTGCCGGCCAGTAGTCACACACACACACACACACACACACAGATGAGAGATAGAGCAGAAGAATGACTGAGAGAAAGAGGAGCGCTGTGTGGCTTTCTTTTCAGGTTACAAATGAAACAACGGCAAATTGTTTAGTTTGTAAACAGGCTGTAACATAAAGTGGCAATACTACGAATTTATATAAGCACATGAAAAATCATTCAAAAGAAAATATAGAGCTACAGAAACGGAGAGAGGAGGAGAGAAATCCCCCACCCCCTGGCCCCGACAGACCCACACCACCGCAGCATTAACAGAGGCCTTTCAGTTTGGCAGAGAATATCCAGGTAGATAATAGTGGTGAAAGTAATATTTTGGTCATCTTCGGCATTAGTTAATATATATTTTTAAGTGCAACTGGTCATTTGTTACTTTAGCCAACTAAAGTATAAAGTATGCTTAGACCTTGAAATAATACATTTATCCCATTGAAACGTGTTATTTTCTTACGGAGCAGCGGAGAGGGAGAGGCATGGACATAGGCTATGTGACATCACCCATAGGTTTCTGAAGACCTGTTGTTAAGCTCAGTGTGAAGCTCACTGTGGCCGATACCATCTGAGCAGTCTTGACTCCGTCTGCTCCTGGCTAATCAAAATGGGCAAAGTTGTGGAGTGTGGTGGAGCTGAGGTGGGCAGAATGAAGCTTGGTTACTGAAACCAGCCACTTGTCACTCAAAAGTGGCCATTCCTTTAATTATGCATAACTTTAAGACTTGATATAATTTAAATTGCTGAGTTGATTAAATTAGCTATGAGTCCAAAGCCATTTTTATACCAGGCTGTAAACATGTTTATTTCTGTGGCAGCAGGGCCTGACGGAATATCTGGAAGCATTTTCAGAGCAGCATTGAGCAGCTGGCACCAATATTCACTGAAATCTTCAAATAAATGCAAAAAAGCCCCAAAAATATTTTGATCACAGTGGCCCAAATAGTCAGAGAGCACTGACATCTTTATTTTCAACTGTAAAATGTCCTGGTCAGCACATGTTTTGGTAGAAATAACTAAATATAGGCAAATGCTAAAATATCCAGCAACTTTGTGTCATGTTATTTTCCAATTCTGATTATGTATCAATAAAGCTACATACTGCTTCACATAAAACAAAGCCAACTATACAAAGCCACTGCAAAATCAAGCATTTTTGGTCACAACAGCCAGAAATCATAAAACAATAAAGAGATGAAAGCACTCTGTATCTCTGCAATTGAAAACAGCACTATCAGACAACAGAAAAGCAAATCAAAAGTCTCCATGTGTAACTGATGTAGGAACGAGGATGGTGAGTAAGCAGGAAAACCAGCTCAGGAGCATGCTAACCTTCCTTACTCGCACCATCTCCGACTTTGTTTTGTCCTGTGGAGAGTGCTGCTCACCCATCAAAGGAAAGACACAGTTACTGTATGTTCCTGTAGGTCCTGTTTCATTCTAACTCAGCAACAAACATTTGTAATACAGGAAAAAAACACATGATAATTTAAACATAAATAAAGCGTAAATTCAGCATAATGGCCATTCTCATATTACTTAAGCCTTTATATTTTTAGGAGAAATACTTCTTTAATCCACTAATGAATTCTGCTCACCTCTACTTTACCATTCTTTTTATCAGTGTTAAGCTACTGTCAGTGAAACTTATCACATCCTGCATATGTTTCACATTAACAGATATGTAGGGAAAAGGAGCTGCAATATGACTTTACTATCTACACTATAGAGTCAGTAAAATTATGGTAGCCATCCCTTTAAAATGTCCATTGTGTAAGATTTAGCAGGCTCTATTTGCAGAATATGGCAGAAAAGTTCTCATTAGTGTATAATCACTTAACAATGAGAATCTTTGCATTTTGCAAGAGGGAGTGGGTCCTATTCTACAGAGTCTGTCATGTTGAACCACCATGTTTATACAGTAACCCAGAATGGACAAACTGAACACTGGCTCTAGATAGGGCCTTTTGCAACCACTGTGGTTTCCACTATGTGGTTGTAACAGGAGGGTGACACACTGCTAATATTGCTAATCAACAATCAGGACAGACTTTTGGTAAAATTAAATTTTACATCAGTGCGACTTCGCACTTCGATTCGTCACAAATTCAATTTGCTGGATTAGCTAAGGACAGACATTTTGTCTACGCATCAATTGGAACTGATGTTCCAGGAAAATGTATTGTATCATAATGAATACTGACAATTACATTTACCATAATAGAGGATATTATCCATATTGCTTTATTAGGTTATGCAAAATAAAAACTGGAAATAATTATCAGAGTAGTGTGTATGACAAGACTGTCATTGTACTGACGGAACTAATTTACATTATACTGAATGAAGTAAGTGGAGGAAGTGCTGAATTCAAAATAGCAGCAAATAAAAACAGTAGTAGATCAGGAAACGGAGACTTCTTACTATGCTAGAGTAAAATATATTTATATACAATGTAGTTTAGATTTTTAAACAGGGAAATTTGGGAAGAATGGTCTTTTTCCTATGATTTTGCATTTTATATATATATATATATAAAAACTTATAAGGCCAGTCTAATATAATATAATATAATATAATATAGACGGAACTACAAAACTAAATTTCATTATACAAAAAAACACAAAAACAATCTTGTATACCCTTACGTATCGTTTTTTATTTGCTTAATGTGTTTTTTTGGTAGTTTTTCTCTTTTGTCCTTGTTTAACCTCAAAGACAGACCATTTTGGTCTGATCATGTACCAAGCAAACAAACCTGGCTCTTTTTCTGTCTTTCCCCATTGGCAGTGGTCACAGTGGGGGAGTGCCTTCTCTCTCTCCTGGCCACTGTCTGGTAGCACAGACAAAGCTCACACATCAGGATCAATTCCAAGTAAAACCAGGGCTAAAAACCTTACACAAAAAAATTCTGTTTCCATAAACAGCTAAAACATACACTTTAAACTTTTGGAAGATTGTCCTTTTGGTTAATACTGGCTACACTGAACAGAATTATTCAGGTTTTTCTGGTAGATTGGAGAGTGTTGATCTCCAAGCCAAACCTTGACATTGTTTGAATGCAAGGTCTTACTAACTCAGTCACTCCAGTGGGGTCAAATATACTCCTACATTTATACTGTAAACATGTTACTCATACATTGTGCATACATAGGATAATTGTATACTCTCATCACTACTTGCTTAAAATTCACTGTATTTCTTTATGAATAACATTTTCTCTGTGGTCTCTTCCCTGACCTTATAGGTGCCCTATAATATATAATTTTCACCAAATGGTAACTAAAACAGATGTGGTGAGGTAAAGGACAGCGTGCCCTACCTTAATTTCTGGAGTGAACTCTGGTCTGGGGCTATGGGTCTTGGTGTGCTCAGCTGGCTGACTCTCTGCCTTTACCTCTGCCTTCCTGTCTGCAGAGCGATGGCCTTTGGATGTGGAGCCGTCATGGTGGTCAGAGCGTGGCAGGATGGGTAGCAGTGGTGATGGGGTTGCTTCCCCCAGAGACACCGGTGACATAATGGGGGCGCTTACCGGACGAGTGGATTTATTGTCAGGAGTGGATGCCATGGCTGGAGAGAGGAGAGACAATGGCTTCACTTTGAAAACAACAAATAAGCCATGTATAAAGCGGTATCTGTAGCTTTTTGATATATTAATCTTTTTCAAAACAACTTCAATATTATCTAAAGGTTAAAATCTCTCATTATTATGCATGTTTGGCCCATTTTTCAGAAAGCCTTTTCTCTGAACTTCCCGTAGATTTTGCACACTACTGTCTGATTCAGCGTTAAGACGTAATTCATTGTCATTCACCTCCAAACAATAAAAAAAACCTGACAAACTGATCATGATATTTTACTTATCTGTACACAAGGTGGCCCAGATGTCCTTCTCCCCAATCTTCCGACGCAGCAGAGAGCCCCTGCTCCCCCTCTCTATTTTCTCCTTTTAATCTTTACTTTCTTTTTTCTTACTTTCTAACTAGCACTGTATTTATTGTTGTATATAGGAACGACAGTGTTGGTAATTTAGTTTTTTATTGTTTGCCTTAGTTTAGCTTAATTTTTATCTATAAACAATGTGCAGGAATGTGGACACTGCGACCACCACATAAAGTGGCAGTGGTTACTCACGTCACCTCTTCCAGTATCGGGACTTACGTGTCGCGTGTCCGAAGGAGATCCCTGTGGAGTTAAGGAGAGGAAGGCGAGGAACTAGAGCAGGCACGTTGGTGAGGAACAAGAACACAGAGAGGCAGTGGAGATACAAGCCATGTCTTCTCTTGGTTGTCATAGGGAATGTACACTCGCTGACAAAGAAAATGGACGAGCTCTCGGCCCTGGTCAGCGGACAACGCGAGTATCGGGAGGGCAGCATGTTATGTCTAATTGAGACATGGCTGAAATGGAATACACCAGACTGCTCAGTGGAACTAGCCAGCATTTCGCTAGTTTGGGCAGCGGTAAGAAGTCGGGATGAGGGCTTGCTGCCTTTGTTAACTCTGAATGGTGTAACCCGGGCCATGGCAGAAATCTGCACGCCTGATATTGAACTGCTGGCCATCGGGTTAAGGACAAACTGCCCCAGGGAGTTCTCGCCGCCATTGTTGTCATTGTTTACATTCCTCCATCGGCAGTAGCGGCGTGGACCTGCAGACACGAGTTCCCAGCGCATTCACTGTAATAAATGGAGATTTTAACCATGCCAAAATCTCAAGGACCCTGACCAACTTTACCCAGTACGTGACCTGTAACACCAGAGGGGAAAAGACCTTGGATCTGCTGTATGCCAATGCAAAGGAGTGCCACCGCCCTCCCCCCTCTCTGCAAATCTGACCACTGCCTGCTACAGCTCACTCCTACATACAGGCCTGCTGTTAGGAGGAGACAGTCCATCACCACCAGAACTGTGCAGCAGTGGATGGTGGAGGCAGAGGAGGCCTGACTCTCTGAGGGAGGCTTTGTATAGTTTAATGACCACAGGCAGGAATGATTTCCTGTGGCGCTCTGTGGTGCTTCTGGGTGAGAGGAGTCTTCTGCTGAAGGTGCTCCTCTGCTGGGCCAGTGTGTCGTAGAGAGGGTGTGGGACATTGTCCAAGATGGACTGAAGCCTGGACAGCATCCTCCTCTCTGCCTGCCTAAGTCTGTTGTTATCTGCGACCTTCAGCCCACTGCCCCAGCATGTGACAGCGAAGAAGATTGCACTGGCCACAACAGACTTATAAAACATCCTCAGCATCGTCCGACAGATGTTAAAGCACCTCAGCCTCCTTAGGCAAAAGAGTCGGCTTTGGCCCTTCTTGTAGACCGGCTCTGTGTTTCTGGTCCAGTCCAACTTATTATTAAAGTACACCCCCAGGTACTTACATTCCTCAACAGTGTCCACAGGGACCCCCTGGATGGAAACAGGGGTCACTGGTATTTTTGCCCTCCTCAGATCCACTATGAGCTCCTTCGTCACATTGAGCTGCAGATGATTCAGCTCACTCCAAGTGACAAAGTTGCCCACAATAGTCCTGCATTCATTCTCATTCTTGGCTACCCCAACCTCCTCCTCCACAGCCCGTCTCCCTCTACTTTACCCAGACAGTAACACCACCCACCTCATCCGCCCTCTCCCCCATCAACTCCCCATCCTCTAAATTTTTCCACCCCACACACTGTTCCCCCTCCCTCCCCCTACCTCTCCCCACTCCACCCTCTCACACCCCTCCCCTCCTCCCCCTCTCACCAATCCCCACACTCCACCCGCAGCTCCCTCTCTTGCCCACTCCCAAGAGGACAGGGGACACTGCCCAGGGACATTCACACCTCCACAACCGACCCTGGTCATCACAAGAAGCCAGGTGAGACGGCAGCTCACCAGGACCAGAGGTCCTGACGACATTAACCCGAGGGTCCTGAAGGTGTGCGTGGAGCAACTGGCAGGAGTGTTTTAGCATCTTTTTTACTTCTCCCTGAGGTTGAATAAGGTGCCGAAGATCTGGAAGACTTCCTGCTCAGTTCCTGTTCCCAAAAAAGGTCGCCCAGCACTCTCAATGAATTCAGTCCTGTGGCTTAATGTCATGAAGACCTTTGAGAGACTGGTTCTGCAGGGCCTCCGACCCCTGGTACACGACTGCCTTGACCCGCTGCAGTTTGTGTACCAGGCGGACATCGGAGTGGGCGATGCCATTATCTAGCTGCTTCACAGAGCTTACACCCACCTGAAGAAGCTACAGAGCACTGTGAGGATCATGTTCTTCGACTTCTCCAGTGTCTTTGACACCATCCAGCCTCTCTGGCTGACAGAGAAGCTCTCTGTGATGCAGGTGGATCAGGACCTTGTGGCCTGGATCAAGGACTACCTCACCGACAGACTACAATATGTCAGGCTGTACAGCTGCTTGTCTGCAAGGTGATGAGCAGCACTGGCACACCCCAAGGAACTGTACTGTCACCGTTTCCATTCACCCTCTACAATTCGGATTTCTGTTCCAACTCCGGAGCGTGCCACCTACAGAAGTTCTCAGATGACTCCTCCATTGTCGGCTGTATCACAGATGATAGGGAGGAGTATAGAGACCTGATCCAGAACTTCACTAGATGGTGCAACAGAAACCACCTATAGCTCAACACAGGGAAAACTAAAGAGCTGGTGCTGGCAAGAGGCCCCCCTCCCCAGTTGCGATTCGGGGAGAGGGTAGAGATGGTGGACACCCATGTTCCTGGGGGTGACGCTCAACAAAAAAACCCTCTCATCCTCTCTACACTGAGCTGAGGCAGCTCAGGAGCAGTTTCAGCCGCAGACTGATCCAGCCCCGAGCCTCAAAGTGGTTTGGAGGCTAGCTTGTACCATCAGCCATCCGAATCCACAACGCCACAGCACCCAGTACCTCCCACCCCCGCTGACTAAGACTGGTTTTAATTCAACCAAACTTATATTACTTATCTTAAATTGCTCATGTACAGTTAGTTTTTTAGTCAATCTGTTTAAAATATTTTGCACACCATTGTACTTGCACATTGCATATAGTGTAAATATTTATGGCCCGAGCACTGACCTATTGTAATTGAAGGAATTCTTTTTCTTTTTCTTATTTTTTTCTCCCAAACGAACGCATATTTGGAGGCCAGAACATGCTCGAAAACTCATGAAACGCGGCGCACATGTCAGTCGTGGCGTCAAATTATGATGTACTGCCAGAACACACAAAGTTGCTATAACTTGAGTGTACATTGTCCAATCGGCTCCAAACTTCACTTGTCCTGCCCTGAACACATCTATGTGATAAAATTCAGTAAAACTGGTAGCCCCACCTTGTGGTAACCAGAAATATAATTTAGTTACACTTTTATGTATTTCTCCTAGCAGATTGACCACATTCAGCTGAAATTTGGTCAGAAGACCCTTGTTGACAGTGACATCTTATGAATCTTATACATTTTTATTGAACCGTGTTGCCATAGCGACGCAGCGAGCATCACCTTGTTGTTTTAACATTTGATCGCATTTTGCTGGGGCTAAACAGACACAACACAAATTTGGTGAGCACATTCTAAACACCTCCAGGATTTAAAGTTGTGCCCCTCATAAATATTTATTGAACATCCTTGGCGTGCCTTCAAAAATCCTTGACCCAGCCTTGACATGACGATGAAACTGCTAAACCTAACTGCAGTACAGATTCTCCATTTGGAGCCAAACTTCACAAGTTTGTTAAGAGCCTTAGCCTAAACGCATCTAAGTGTCAATATTCAGTCGCTTTCATAGAGTCAACTACTAGCAACAGGAAGTAAGCCTTGTGTGGCAATTGTGATGGGATTTCTGGGAAATTTTCGTAGCTTGGTGTGTACTGGTGCGTGACCCGAGGGCAGTACACCCTGAATTGCAGTTTTAATATTCTTATTGTGATATGATTGTAAGTACACTGTACTCTTTTTATGGCACTGTATTCCCCAATGCTGCAGTGTGTAATTTTAATTTCTCCTACGGGGGATTAATAAAGGTATATCTTATCTTATCTACCAGGGGTCTTTCACAAATGGTGGCAGTGCCACGTTTCACAAATCATTTTCGTTTGCAATTGCAGATAGAGTTGAACAGAACTCTTGCATGGTCATGTATGAGTAAAAAAAAATTATCTGGGGAAATTTTTGTTTGTTTGTTTTTGTTGGAAATTACAGCTTGTATTTGGTGAAATACACAACACAAAATATATGGGGTAGCCATGATGTTCACATAGTTAACAAGAATACCAGCGCTCTAACATGCAGGCGAAAACCTCAGTAACCAGCATTGTACTGGGTGACAAGCTCTGGTATGAGAAATACACATACACATACACAAACATGCCTACAGCAGAAACAGCAGTGTACCTCCATCCAGGCTGCGTGAGTTCCTCTTGCTGGAGGAGCGCTGGAACAACGGAGCTGGTCTGTCAATCAGAGAGCTTGCCTGTCTGGTCTGAGCCTGAGTCCGACCACTATAGCGAAACTTAGAGCCCAATGCCAGAAACTTCCTGGGAGTGGTGGCCATCTCAGTGGAGGTCAGCCTGCACGCAATGAACATTGATACTGATCTTGTAATCTGACTCTGGGAAAAGCTGCTAGCAAGCACATTTGGCTTTTCAATTTCCACTGCACAGCCATGTGGATAAACTCTCTTAAAGAATACCCTATCAATGCGTGTAACATTCATTCTTTTCATATGCTATATAGAACCCAAAATCTAAGTTTTTTATTCTTAATTCCAACAAACAAAACAACATCCCATAAAAAAAAGAACAACAAAAATCCAAAATAATTTATATTAAGTGTCCATTGGAACCAGCAGTCACGAGTACTGTGTCTTTCACTGATATATGCCTATAAAACTGCATGGACCTGTTTTAAGCTTAAACATCAACATAGAGAAGAATATAGAAAAAGATATAAAAACGCTGTATTTGATGCCCTGGGGATGAGACAATCAATTATCTTTCTTGGCTCTAATTTAGTTGTTTTCATTCATGCCCGGTGGATTCTTGCAAATGCCATTAGGAGCACTAGGAGGAACCAGAGGAACGTGATTTTTCTGTCCTATAATATAATATATCATAATATAATATTGGATATAATGAAAGATTCAGCAAATATGACCAAAATTGTCTTAATTAAATCTTCTTTTCTAAAATACTTGAAAAAAAGCTCATATTCATTACATTAAATCAGTGAGCACCATCAACCACGTGTATTTGCTAATAGACTATCAAGTGCTATGCACATAGAAATCAGTAGCCTAACTTCCTGGTCACAAAGTTTGGATTGATTAAATATCAAAATCAAATTTGGCCTGTGGCCCGTTTTTTTCATTTCCAGTTTTAAAGCATTAAAACAGCATTAAATAGAAAGTACTAAACTGTTATTATTGTTTTTGTGTTGGATTGGAAAATGGATGAATTTATAATAGTAAATAAGAAATAGTTTTTTCATTTTCCGATTTTGGATTCTATATTGAACATAAAAAGATATATATAATATAATAAATGTAATATAATATACGGATTAATATCCTACCTGAAGAAGGTGTGATGTTCAACACACACTTTCCACAGTTTCTTGGCCGCCTTGTAATTAGGTAGTTTGAAGCCAATTGCACTCTCGTACTGTTCCACCTGTTTAAACACAACAAACACAAACCCTGCTGAAAACAAGATTAACAAAATAATCTTTATGTTTGCATGGTTAGGGTGAGTTCAGTGTACAGGTGAATGAATATTTGTTGATAAAAACATACCTCAGACGGTCTTATTTTGATGAAGAAGCTGCTGCGTTTGTATGAGACCTTGAGGACTTTGGGCCAGGGGAAACGGTTGATCCTCAGTTTGTCTTTGTAAACCATAAGACCGCTGGAGCAAACCCCCAGCATGATGTCAACACCATCCAGATCCTGGCAGAGACACCCAGAAGACTTCCATTTACTGTCAACTCACTGGATATTCAGAATTCAGAATGAACATCAAATGGGTGACAAATGAAAGGAACTAAGGTGGTAAATGGACCTGTACTTGTATAGCGCCTTTCTAGTCTTCCGACCACTCAAAGCGCTTTTACACTACATGGCACATTCACCCTTTTACACACATTCCCTCAGTGATGTTAAAGCCCATCAAACAGAAACTAACTCATTCATACACATTCACACACCAATGCACGGCATCAGGAGCAATTCGGGGTTAAGTATCTTGCTCAAGGATACTTTGACATGTGGCACCAGGAGCCGAGGATCAAACCAACAACCTTCCGATTAGGGGACGACCCACTCTGCCTCTGCACCACAGCTGCCCTTAGGTGTCTTCCAGCCAAAACAGCTCCAGTCTCTGGAAGTCTGTTGAAGTCAAACCACCATGATGTTTTGATCATTGTGGTGAACACAGCCCAGAGTTGAAAATGAAGGTTCTCCCAAAAGTTCCCACCATGAGCTTGGCGACGGCGGCAAGGAAAACTGCCTTTTAAGAGGCAGAAACCTAGGACAGACCCCTCGGCTCTAGGTTGGTGGTCGTCTGCCTCGACCAGTTAGGGTGAGAGAGAGAGAGAGAGAGAGAGAGAGAGAGAGAGAGAGAGAGAGAGAGAGAGACACAGACAGACAGACAGACAGACAGACAGACAGACAGAAGTACACAGCAACAACAGTAGCAACAACTACACTAACAGTAGTGACTGATGACGATGAACATGAAGAAGATGATGATGACGAAGACGACAGCAATACAGTACAACTATATCCTGGCTTTTGGGGAGCTCACTTTTTTGAGGGGGTGGCAGGGCTTGCTTGTGCCTCAAAGAGAGGACTGACTGTGACTGTAACTATGCTCACAACAAAACATAGAAATTAATAATGGTGATTTGGCAGGGAGACTGAGTGGGACTGAAAAATATTTCACAAAAGTTTTTTTTTTAGTACGCATCCACATCAATATCATATGGTCAGTTACTTTAATTTTAGTCACTTAAAATCACATGAAACACATTCAGTTTGTTTGGATTACAATTTGTTTATTGGAACATTGACAATGCATTGTTTTCTACACTGGGACACATTTAGTTTATATTAATAATAATACATTTTATCTGTTATTATTTTGTCATATTGCTCTTTGGCTAAGTTGTTCATTCATTTCTCTTTGCCTTTGAGTTACCTGGCTGCTGAGTTCTCTTCCTGGTTTAATGCAGAGGTCTTAGCCAAAGACCATACCAAGAGCTCTGACAGCATATCGGGAATCAGTGTTTCTTTGTGTGTGTTTGTGAGTTTTAGTCATTGCACCTTTTACCTGCATAATTTTTTTTCACAGATTTTACATTTAAACTGTTTATTCCAAGAATCTCTCAAACGTTTACTAACAGATGCTATCAGCACACATCATGTATGCACTTCTACCAATGATTATTCATGTAAGTAGAGTATCTGTAGCATCTGTTGATTTATGGTGCAGCTTCCTTGTACTGCTATCCATCATCCACAGTGGGGCAATATAGTCCTCTAAAAGTCCCTCCCTCCAAGCTCGGTTAAATCCCTGCTCTGATGCAAACAGATTGACCTATTTCTGCTGTAAGACCCAACAAGTCACATGTCTTCCTGCTGTTCTGTTCAGGTCAGGCACGCACGCTTCTATGATGTATGACGTTAAAAAAAACTAACAGAACAAGCTCCAAACACATCACGTTTCATCACATCACTTGCTGTTTATTTTTATGGATCACTGGAAGGCTGAATCACATTCACACCCAGATTAAGTGCATTGCAGGTTTTTTGATTTTTTTTTTTTTGGGGGGGGGGGATTTTGGATCTAAAGTCACGATGCAAAACTAGAATAACTTCATAATCCTGTGCTCACCTTGGCCTGGTGGAGGTCTACTCCGTACATGGAGAGTTTCTTGGCATTCTCCAGAAACATCAGGTCTGCTTGGGCTGGACTCATTGACCTGCCACAACACCAAAGCAGGAATCCAATAAAATATTGAATTAGTGTGACTGTGGAGATGCTGTGAAATGAGAACGGGCACACTAATAGGTGGTATAGGAGTAGGAAAAACTATGGTGGCCACAAAACTCATGAATAATGCAAAAGGCCCTATCTACTTATATTGTTTGGTTTGTCTGGGCTCCTTTAGAAACATGGAGGTACAACGTGACAGACTCTGTAGAGGAGGACCTGCTCCCTCTTGCAAAATGCAAAGATTCTCATTGTTAACTGATTATACGCTAGTGAGAACCTTTCTGCCATATTCTGGAAACAGAGCCTGCTAAATCTTACGTGATAGACAAAAATATTTTTATAAAAATTACCAACTGCAGTTTTAATTGTGGTAATAATAATTTTACTTAGGTAAATAATCTGAATACTTCTTTCACCACTGGTTGAATGAGGCAGTTTTCTGACCTGTAAGTATGGTGCAGCTCCATCATTTTGTCCTCCAGCTCCTTGGTCTGGCCATGGGCCATTTTCATGTCCTTAGCGTATTCGTTGCTGTGCACCTCGGGGTCGTACTCACCCAGCTCCGACTGCAAGGCGTAGGAGCCTAACAGGGCAAGGGTGACGAAGGAACAGGGCAGGCAGCCCTGCAGGATATCCTTCCGCAACTGGAGACACAGGTAGTACCTGCAGTGCACAAACAGTGATCATGTAGGGATTTACTATCTATGGAACTGCTATGATAACAGATAATCATTTCTGTAGAACTGTACTGCATTCGCAGAGGAAGACTGTGAGGTGTGGTTCAAAGCTCCAGAAAAGGCTACTAAGTGGTTAAAGATTTTTGTCAGCTTTCATGCTCAGTTCATCTCCTACCTGCACAAGTCCCTGTAACTTTTGATGACAATATATTTGATTCCCAGGGGGTTTTATATTTGATTAACCTGTAGGAGTCTGTCAAAGTTCATTAACTGCTTTTTTAGATACACTGTATTTCAGCTCATGCCCACCAGACCGAAGTCAGTGTTGCTGACTTGTCGAGGTTTAACACTAACATGGGAAAATGTTGCTTTAGCTTTTCCAGGAATTTGAATAACTCACCTTTACAATTATTAGTTATAAACTTATAATTAGTTGCATAAATTGTACTTATTCATTGTTTTAAAGGTCCAGTGTGTATTATTTAGAAGGATTTGTTGGTAGAAATGGAATATAATATGCACAGGTATGTTTTCATAAGTGTATAATCACCTGAATATAGGAATCTTTTTGTTTCTGTTGTCTTAGTCCTGATTTTTAGATCCTAGAGCACTTTTATCTTTTATCTTTATCCTTTATAATTGATCATGTTTGTACAATGGTTGACTATTGTTTGAGTTGTTTGTTTTTATATTTTTGTCAAGCGGAATGCCTTGTCTTTTACTGCAAACCAAACCTACTCAAGGGTACAAATAAAGGACATCATCATCTCCACTCTCTGCACATCAAGGTCCTTGGATTTTGTTGTGTTATTCATGACATTTTAAAGTTGTGTGTGATTTAATGTTCTCATGATATCAAATAAACTAAACTACACTAAAACTTCTGAATTCGATTTTAAAACATACATACTGTAACCGAACAACCCGTGTGCTAATGAACAACAGGTATTTTAATTCTTAAGGATTCAAATTAATCCTGAGGTACAAGGACAAACAAATAAACATAAAATTATGTTTGTAAGTAGCAGTGGAACCCATACAGTACCTAGTTATGTCTTCAGACAGTTGGGCTGGGTCTGGTGGATAGAACTTCACATTGAAGGTGAAATTATAGTTGGCACCTTGAGAAAGAAAAGGAGGGTGTGATTAAGAAGAAAAGAAGAAGATGATGAAGAAGATATACTTTATTGATCCCCAAAGGGACATTGTTCTTTTCACTCTTTTTTATACACACACACACACACACACACACACACAGGCTGAAATGCACACTTCATGTACTTGTGGACATGCAAAGGGGAGAGAGATGGTGGACTGATGGGGCTGCAATGTTAATCACGCCCCATGAGCAGGTTTTGCGCTCAAGGGCACCTCGGCAGTGCACAGGAGGTGAAACTGGCACCTCTCCAGCTACCAGTCCACACTCCATATTTTGTGGTCTATGGGACTTGAGCCGGCGACCCTCCGGTTCCCAAACCAAGTCCCTACACACTGCACTACTGCCGCCCAGCAATAACTGCAAACATGTATTAAAAACATGTTACAAAAGAAAATTAAAACAGAAGGTACATTTGTGGGTTCCACTCACCTTGTACCTGCCTGTGGATCTCCTTGGTTAGGTCCATCCAAGTCTGAGCAAAAAAGGATGCAGCATTAGGTTTGATATCATTATACACTGTTCAGTGTCAGAGTTCTGAGGGCCACATGTTAATCTAACCATCAATGACATTTATGTAAAGAACTGCCTTTTTCTTGTCCTAATGGAATACTGAGGTCCGGGTGTTGGATTGATACTAACTAGTGTCAGTTACTTACCTTCATGGTGGATGTCTCCCAAATGGCCAGGCCATAGTAGTCTTTCTCCAGCAGGTTGAGGTGGTCACACACCTTCATGAACAACTCCTGGCCTTTGGCATGTTTCTGACACACACACATACATAAAGGGAACAAGCCACAGAATAATTAAACAGTCACCTACAAATGTAACAGACCTGACATTACATACAGGACAAGTATTCATGAAAAGCAAAATTGTAAGAACAATGCAGAGGTTCAGAGGAAGCAGTCACTTCTCCCACTGGACTATTTAACAGCTGTCAAACTGAAGCAGAGACTAAGCAGAGGAGACTGGTCTGAGGGAAGATTGGAGCCAAACTTTTTTTTCTTTCCAAATAAACATTACAGCTTTGTCTGCTGGCTTTACTGGATGAGAAGTTGATAGCTGTAAATCTGTAAAAGTAACAGTGATCCCATGAAGCGTTTCTCAAGAGCCTGAAGGATGACTTGTAGCCATTTGGAGGCACTGCCATTCAAAATAAGTCATGTGTTGATTTGGGGCTGCAGGACAAATAGTTACAGAGAGCCATTTTTTCACCTTTAAAGAAAAACAGGTGCTCATTGGTTTCTCGGGGAACATCAGACATGGAGCGGGAGAAGCCTGGGATGGAATCTGGCTGGCAGCCTGCACCTCAACTTCCCAGTCAGGTAACCAACTCCTTTGACTCATGTTAAGTACAGCATAAAATGAGGGGGGAAAGCCAATGATTACTTGACTTCTTCATTAAAATGGCAAAAGCTTCTTTTGCTGCCCCCAGAATTCTGTGACCTGTAGTATTAAACTGCATTTACCACCAGGAACTACAGGTGTCACATGAACAATAACAGCGCAACTGCATAATTGTTTTAATATGAATATTTCCAGCAAAGATGGCATTTTGCAATTGCAACGTTTCTGGAATTACAGATCACAACCATCACTACTCAGTGAATTGCCTCCTTGCTGGAAGTCTGAGAGCATTTTATAGTCCATAGTTAGTTTATATATACAGTCAAACCTGAAATTATTCATACCCCTGGCAAATTCTGACTTAAAGTTACTTTTATTCAACCAGCAAGTTTTTTCTTGATTGGAAATGACACAGGCATCTCCCAGAAGATAATAAGATTATGTACAAGATGCATCATTGTGGATAAAATTATTTCTCAGCTTTTATTTACATTTGAACAAAAAGTGGCATGTCCAATAATCCTTCTCAATAATCAAAAGAAAAGCCTTTATTGGCTATTACAGCAATCAAACGCTTCCTATATTGCTGACCAGCTTTTTGCATGTCTCCACTGGTATTTTTGCCCAGTCATCTTTAGCTATGTGCTCCAACTCTTTCAGGTTGGAGGGTCTCCTTGCCATCACCCTGATCTTTAGCTCCCTCCACAGATTCTCAATTGGATTCAAGTCAGGACTCTGGCTGGGCCACTGCAAAACGTTAATGTTTTGTCCGCTAACCATTTCTTCACCACTTTTGCTGTGTGTTTTGGGTCGTTGTCGTGCTGAAATGTCCACTGCTGGCCAAGGCCAACTTTCTCTGCAGACTGCCTGATGTTGTTGTTGAGAATCTTGACGTATTGCTCTTTTTTCATAGGGCCGTTTACTTTGATTAGGTTCTCTGGTCCATTGGCTAAAAAAACCCCAAAGTATTAGGTTCCCACCGCCATGTTTGACAGTGGGGATGGTGTTCTTAGGGTTGAAGGCTTCTCCTTTTTTATGCCAAATGAAGGATACATCATAACGGCCTCATCTCTCATCTCATGTCATCTTCATCTGCTTATCCGGGATCGGGTCGTGGGGGTAGCAAGTCCAGCAGAGGACCCCAAACTTCCCTTTCCCTGGCCACATCGGCCAACTCTGACTGGCAGGCGTTCCCAGGCCAGTGTTGAGATGTAATCTCTCTTCCTGGTCCTCGGTCTGCCCCGTGGCCTCCTCCCAGCTGGATGTGCCAGGAACACCTCCCTCGGGAGGCGCCCTGGAGGCATCCTCCCCAGATGCCCGAACCATCTCAGCTGGCTCCTTTCGACGCAAAGAAGAAGCTCCGACTCCAAAGATCGACCGGCAGATCGAGAGCTTCGCCTTTTGGCTCAACTCTCTGTTTGATAAAGGGATCGCAAAACTGCCCCTGCTGTCCCAATTCTGCGGCCATCTCCTGCTCCATTCTACCCTCACTCGTGAACAAAACCCTGAGGTACTTGAACTCCTTCATTTGGGGTAAGGACTCACTCCCTATCCGGAGTCGACAATCCACCAGTTTCCTGCTGAGAACCATGGCCTCCGATTTAGAGGTGCTGATCCTCATCCCAGCTGCTTGACACTCTGCTGCGAACCGATCCAGTGAGTGCTGAAGATCACGGGCTGATGAGGCGATCAGGACATCATCACATCATCCGCAAAAAGCAACAATGCAGTCCTCAGCCCACCAAACTGCAACCACTCCCCTCCACGACTACGCCTCGATATCCTGTCCGTGAAAGTCTCAAACAGGATTGGTGACAAAGCGCAGCCCTGGCGGAGGCCAACACCCACTGGAAACGAGTCCGACTTATGACCAAGAAATCCAGACACAACTCTCGCTTTGGAAATACAGGGATTGGATGGCCCTGAGAAGTGGCCCCCTCACCCCATACTCCCGCAGCACTTCCCACAGGATATCCTGGGGAACCCAGTCATATGCCTTCTCCAAATCCACAAAGCACATGTAGACCGGATGGGCATATTCCCAGGCCCCTTCCTGCGAGAGAGAAGAGTTGGTCAGACGGAACCCGCACTGTTCCTCTTCAATCAGAGGTTCGACAATCAACTGGACCCTCCTTTCCAGCACCTTAGAGTAAACTTTCCCAGGGAGGCTGAGTAGTGTGATGCCTCTGTAGTTTGCACACACCCTCCGGTCCCCTTTTTTAAATAGGGGAACCACCTCCTTTGGTGCTGTCCCTGACTTCCATGCAATGTTGAAAAGGTGTGTCAACCAAGACAGCCCCTCAACACCCAGAGCCTTCAGCATTTCTGGGCGAATCTCATCAATCCCTGGGGCTTTGCCACTGTGGAGTTGTTTGACTACCTCAGTGACCTCCCGCAGGGAAATTGATGCAGATCCCCCATCACACTCCAGCCCTGCTTCTATCACAGAGGGTGGGTTTGTTGGTCTAGTCGGATTCAGGAGGTTCTTCCACCACCCAATTACCTCCCCAGTTGAGGTCAGCAGTGTCCCATCCCCACTGTACACAGCTTGAATGGTTCCCCGCTTCCCCCTCCTGAGGTGTCGGACGTTTTTTTTGGGAGTTGAAGGTCTCTCAGACACGGGCCTCCTCCAGACATTCCCAGTTCACCCGTACAACATGTTTGGGTTTACCACGTCTGTCCAGTGGCTTCCCCGCCACCTAACCCAACTCACCACCAGATGGTGATCAGTTGACAGCCCCTCTCTTTACCCGAGTGTCCAATACATGCGGCCTCAGGTCTGATGATACCATCACAAAATCAATCATAGACCTTTGGCCAGACAATTAAACTTTTGTTTAATCTGACCATAAAACAGAAGACCAGAAGTCTTCTTCTTTGTCCAGATGAGCATTTGCAAAGGTCAAGCGGGCTTTTGTGTGCCTTATCTTATCATCCTCCTTGGTCTGCGTCCGTGGAACCCAGCAGTGTGCAGTGTCCGTTGGACTGTCTGCCTTGAGACGTTGCCACCAGCAGAGCCCAGATTCACCAGGATGGCCTTGGTGGTGATCCTTGGATTCTTTTTCACCTCTCTCACCATCCTCCTGGCCAGCACAGGTGTCACTTTTGGCTTCCGACCATGTCTTCTGAGATTTCCCATGGTGCGGAACGTATATTTTTTAATAATACCTTGCACTGTAGCCACTGGAACTTGAAAACATTTAGATATGGCCTTATAGCCCTTTCCTGACTTGTGAGCAGCCACAATGCGCAGCCGCAGGTCCTTAGTGAGCTCCTTTGTCTTAGCCATGACTGTCCACAAACCAACTGCAGAGAGCTGCTGTTTTTTCACCTGTTGAGTTGATTAAAACAGCTGTTCCCAATGAATCAGGGTAATTAGGATGGTTTAGAACAACTTGGACTATTTGGAATGGTATAAAACTTTGGATTTTCCCATGGACTGTGACAGTTTGCAAAGGGTATGAACAATTTTGGACATGCCACTTTTTGTTCAAATGTAAATAAAAGCTGAGAAATATTCTTTTCCACAATTATGCCTCTTGTACATCCTCTTATTATCTTTTGGGAGAAGCCTGTGTCATTTCCGGTCCAAAAAAAACTTGCTAGTGGAATAAAAGTAACTTTAAGTTGGGCGCCCGGTTAGCTCAGTCGGTAGAGCTGGTGACCCATATACGGAGTTGCTGCCGGGTTCAAATGCAACCTGCAGCCCTTTGCTGCGTGTCATCCCCTCTCTCTCCACCCACCTTTCCTGTCTCTCTACAGCTGTCTATGAATAAAGCCAACAAAAGGCCAAAAAGTAACTATAAAAAAAGTAAAAAAAAAAAAAAAAAAAAGTTACCTTAAGTCAAAATTTGCCAGGGGTATGAATAATTTCAGGCTTGACAGTATATATATTATATTATATATAAAAATAAATGTAAAATGCCTTTTTAACCCATTGCATTCCGTCATAATGCAACAATGTATCTATTAACAATGTATGCCAATCAATTCAATGATACAGAGCTAAGACTGACAAGTTAGCCACCTAGCAACAGCATGGCTTTCTGCCAGAGTGCCAGGAGCTAAACACATCAAAATAACACTTTGGTGCACTTGCAAAAGTTAAGATTATGCAATAAGCTGAGGAGGTCATAGAGACAGCATTCTGCACTTTCCCACCTGGCCATCGAATAAGAACTTGTTAGGGGTACTGATTTTGAGAATGTTGTACACCACTTTGCATTTTCAAATTTAAGAAAGAGGTCCAGTGTGCCATAACATGATTGTATTTAACAGGAAATGTGTTTCAGTTAAACCTCCATTATTTAGAAATTAAAGTTCATTATTTTGCCAGATTTATACTAATGCTGATGTGATTTCATACATAACATGATATGTCAGGGAGTAGCCTTGGTGGGACACACCACTGTGTGTACAGTACATTAACTTGTATTCGTACAGAACATTTTTGCATCTGCAAAATAACTTCTCTTGTACTTGATGACTGTTGGATATTGAAGTTCAGAATAAATTCCATTTTTATTTTTGTGAGTACAATGGATGAAAATGTTTAATTAAAAATGCTTACATCCAGCTCACACTCATACAGTGTGTCGTCCAGCAGGGTGACTTTGATCTGCATGGTCTTAGGCCGACGTGGAGCTCTGGGAGCTTTAGCTTCCTCCTCTGTCGTCTTCTCCTTCTCTCCCTTACTACCTCCTTCAGGACTGGACTCCTTCTCCTCCTTCTTCTCCTCCTTCTTCTCCTCTTTCTCCAGGGCAGCCACTTCACCTTCCTCTTTGCCGTTTTCTTTGTCCTGTCCACCCTTCTCTTCCTCAGCTTCTTTCTTCTCTAGCTGGACAGCCTGACAAAGACACTTTGATTACAATGCTTGATTATGAGAATGGATGCAGAAATATATGCAGAGATTGTCTTGCTTGTCTCTGTGGCTGGGATTGTAGCTTTTGTTAATCTTCTCCATCTTTTCCTCAGTGGTTACTGCAGTGTTTGCATTTAAAAACCTCAAAGGATGCAGAAAAACTAATCCATGCATTTGTTACTTCTAGGCTGGATTACTGCAATTCCTTATTATCAGGTTACCCCAATAAGTCCATTAAGATGCTCCAATTAATCCAGAACGCTGCAGCACAAGTACTGACAGGAACTAGAAAAAGAGATCACATCTCTCCTGTACTAGCTTCTCTGCACTGGCTCCCTGTAAAATGTAGAATAGAATTTAAAATCCTCCTCCTCACCTATAAAGCTCTTCATGGTCAGGCCCCTTCATATCTTAAAGAGCTCATAGTATCCTATTACCCCGCTAGAACACTCCGTTCTCTGAATACAGGACTACTTGTGGTTCCTATAGTCTCTAAAGTAGAACAGGAGCAAGAGCCTTCAGTTACCAAGCTCCTCTCCTGTGGAACCAGCTTCCAGTTGTGGTTCGGGAGGCAGACACCCCCTCCACATTTAAGAGTAGGCTTAAGACGTTCCTCTTTGATAAAACTTATAGTTAGGGCTGGCTAAGGTGAGTCCTGAACTATCCCTTAGTTATGATGCTGCTGCTTCCCCGGAGTTCTTGTGCTTTCCCATCTCACAGGTTCTCACGGATCCTGGTGGAGCCTCCTGCAATGGTCCTGCTTGACTCTTGCTAATATTACTAAAATATTATTAGGGATCGAGCACTGACAAGTGCAAGACCCTATTGTTCCTGTTAAAATTATTATTAGTATTATTATTTGGTGCCTGTTTGACCGCATATTTGACCCCCGCAACATGCTCAAAAAGTCATGAAAATTTGCACAAAATTCAAACGTAGCGAAAATACCGATATGACATTGTCCCCGTGCACGGGCGCCGCCAAACGGCTAAGCCACGCCCCCCAGAATCAGCCCCCAAGACACGTAAGGCCCACATGTACGAAAATTGGTACGCATGTGTATCATGATAAAAGAAGCAGAAAAGTCACAAGGACCCATACCTCAAACCCAACAGGAAGTCAGCCATTTTGGATTTTGTGGCCTTTTTTGGTGATTTACACACGTTGTATTTGAACGAACTCCTCCTAGGGCATTTATCGGACCGACTTCAGATTTGGACACAGCCATCTAAACACATTCAGTATTAAAAGTTGAGCTATTCAGGCTATTCCGTCAAACATCGTGCATGTGGCGTGGCGTCCCGTGTCGTGCAATTTCGATCCTTCGCCATAAAAAGAGGGATTCGTCATAACTTCTGCATACATGATCCGACTGCAACGAAACTTAACATGTCTGATAAGAGTCCCGCCCTGAAATTTTGAGCTGATTTACGTGACATTTTCATGTTGTGGTCCACGCTTGTTACGACGGCACGTGACGTGGCCGCAGCACACCCCGACGGCACGTGACGCTGCCGCAGCACGCCCCGACGCGCGCCAGTTGCGAGATCCCGTTCATCGCTGCTTGCAGCTTTAATTATTATTATTATTGTTATTGTTATTATTGTTGCTGTGGTCGCTGCTCGTTGTCCCCCATCGTTGTTGTCGTCGTCGTCATCATCATCATCAGTCACTACTATTAGTGTAGTTGTGGCTACTGTTGTTGCTATGCACCTCTGTCTGTCTGTCTGTCTTTTTTTCCCAATAGACACAAACAAAAAACATTGTGTCTGCTGTGATAACCTTGCCGAGTTGTAGCTAGGTTTTGGCTCCATTAGCATCCACACACTCCTCGTCATCTGCATAGGTTTCACCATACCGTCTCACCAGGTGACACATTTTTAACTCAGCTCTAGCTCTCTCTTGTCTTAACGAAACCATGAGGAACATAACATAAAAGAGACATTACTTCAACAACTTCAGAATAACCTAAGACATGAAATATGCTACATATTCAAAGTGCTTTAGATGTACTTAGACCCAAATACACAGCATGCTAACCTGAGCCTCAGCACTGCTCACTGAGTGCTGGTCCAGGGCGACCTCTCCCTCTGTCCTCAGTTCAGGTTCAGGGTCAGCGATGGGGGCTTTAGCTTCTTCTTCTTCTTCCTTGTCCTCCTTCTCTCCCACCTCGCTCTCACACTGGGAGCGCCTATTCAGGAATGAGGAGAATAGACGGGAGAGGCCACGACTGGCAGAGTTGCGGTTGCGAGGCCGGAGCTGCTCCTCTTCCGGTGAGGGCGGCCTGGTGTCCTGGCCGGCTTCCTCCTGCTGCCTCGGCTTCTTCTGGTGGCTCTCCGCCTCGTCTGTTGTCATGGCAACAGCTGTGGAGATAAAGGTCGAAATCAAGTTAAAAAAAACAGGAACTTTTTGAACAGAGGGAGAGTGCAGTTGATTAGTACAAGCAAGTTCTGAGATTAAATATTATCCTACCCATAACAAAGTAATTTGCAAAAACAATAAAAATGGTGATAATACTGCACACAAATCACCGCAGGGGAAATTCTTTGCTGCCCTAACTACGAGGTCCCTCCAGAGCCACAGAACGGATTATACTTTCATATAGCCTGAGTAATGCTAATCATGACAATTAAACGGACACCTTTACTTTTAGAGCTACACTAATAAATACAATAAGCACACAAACAACAGCCAGTTTACTTGATCAAAGACTCAAGGGCATTACATTACAGTCAACACATGCTTTTGTCCTAAGTTACAAAACTTTTTGGGACTTCTTTAAGAACAATCAACACATGGATGCCAGTCACTATGACTGAACTTATGTCCACTTTTAACTACATTTCAAATCGTCAAATGGAATTCACTCATGTATCAAGAAATTACTAACTAAGCAAGCAAGTATGGAACTTTGATTATGTGGTTACATGGTTGTAGGCTAAATGGGGGGGACCGATGACAACTGAGCCAATTCATGGAAGAAGGCAGCAGCCTTATGGACACAGTGGAATACGATTAAAAGTTCTGGAAAAAGCTTATAAGTGAACCTTAAGTAATGATTTTTTCAAAACGACTATTTCCATGGTAAAGAATAAACTTAAAAGTTGCAGCAGGTCATTTTGTTCAAAACATGTTTTTGTCGTAATTGCTGAAACCTTCACTATATCCTGACAGTAGTACATGAGACCGTTAATGTGATTTTCATAGATTATGCATCTCATGTAATACTGTCAGGACACAGTGAAAATTTCCGCAAATCTGACAAAAAAGTTATTATTATCAGAATCAGAATTGGGTTTATTGCCAAGTGAGTTTTTACACGTACAAGGAATTTGCCTTGGTGCGTTGGTGCATAAAAATCACAAGTACTTTTTAAAATATAAATAAATAAAGATAAAGATAGAAAGATCTAAACTATACAGGAAAGATATAAAGATATAAAGCTGCAGCATTAAGGCTGGCAGCTTTAAGGCCCAAATTAAGTTTTGTGCAGGTTCTAGGCTGCATACTGGACCATGATCGGCTTCCAAACTATTTTTGAGTCTTGCTCATACACACAAATATTGAACTGATTTTTAAGGTGAGCAGAGAAACTTTGCTTTCTCAGCAGATGAATGTGAAAACAGCCTTCTAGTGTAAAACTCTACACACGTCATTCTGCACGGTGAAGCTGTGAAGTTAAGGAACAGAAGCAATGCACACAGTGGAGGCACATGGAAACAGACTTCTACAATCACCACAGCCAAATCAAACTATCTCTAAACAATGTCCAGAATTCAATAACACTCTGGGCTGTAGGATTGGTTATTTTACACTGGGTCTCTCATTAATGTCTCCATTACCACACTTTTTAAGATACTATCAGGGGCACCCCAGGTAGACCTGCATGAGCATGTCCGACATGTCAAGGCTGAGTCCTTACCCAGGCCCACTGCTGCATGTCACCCACTCTCTCTCCCCCATATGTGCATAAAAAAAAAAAAAAATACTCTCTCACTTTTACTCAGTGCTAATGACAACACTTCAGGGACCACTGGAATGCTCACCCATATGAAAGAACATGCATCATCATCATAGTCCTCCTGTCATGATCACTTTCTCAATTTTCCATCATCCCCTTATACCAACACTCGGCTTGTGGTTAGTGTTGCCATATGAAAGCTGTCTGCTTAAATTTACATTCTGCCTGCACACAGCCACTTCATTTACAGCAGTGAAGGTGGGTGGCTGTACAAGCTGTATCAGCTGGCAGCTGAAACACCACAGTCCCTCAGACATGTTGCTGTGGAAACAACCATGAAGAAAATTAAAGAAAATAGAGACAACAATGTGTGAAAATCTGTGCAACAATGAGCTGTTTTAAAATAAAACCTACAGGCAGAGAGAGTTGATCACTTTTTCATGTAGCTGTTAGAGCTGGTGTCCTAATCATCACGGTATAACACCAAGTCAATTAAACTTCAGGGATATTGATCTATCCAGATAGGAAGCATAAGTGAAAGTGACATCAGGTGCGCTGGAGAGGTAACAGCAAGACAACCCCCAAAAAGGGAATGGTTTTGCAGGTGGTGGCCACAGACAATTGCTCTCTCCTTATCCTTCCTGACTGATTCTTCTCTAGTTTTACGTTTTGCTAATGTCCTTGTCACTACTGTTAGCATGAGTACCCGCAGCCCATTTCGGTTGCACAGGTAGTCCACCTCCGCCAGGATGACACATCCATACGTGCTGTCGCAAGAAAATTTGTGTCTCCCCAGCATAGTGTCAAGAGCATGGAGGAGATACCAGGAGACAGGTCATTACACAGGGAGAGCTGGACTGGGCTGTAGAAGGGCATCAACCCAGCAGCAGGACCGGTATCTGCTTTTTTGTGTGTGAGGACAAACAGGAGGAGCACTGCCAGACTAGTACCCTACAAGTAGGGATGGGGCCGATCCGATCCAGTATCGGGACCGATACCAGCGTAATTCACGTATCGGAATTTCCCGATCCAACCTGCACAGATTTCCGATATCCATGAGCCATGTCTGCGCTTTAACGTTGTCTGCTGAAATGACTCCACAGGTGATTCCTGCCAGCCAGTCTGCTAGCTGGCTGCAAACTGTGGAATGGATTTCCTGAACGGAGGCGCGGCTCAATGAGACACAGAGTTACGAGACACGCCCCCGCTCAGGAAATCCATTCCGCAGTTTGCAGCTAGCTAGCAGGATAGCATTGAGCAGCATTGTGGCTAGCCAACATGTCCGCTGTGTGGAAATTCTTTACACTAGAAACACTGCAGAGCAAGACAGCAAAATGCAATGTTTGCAAAGCCGTAATTCAGAGACGCGGAAGCTCCCTCGCGTCGTACAACACTACGAACGCAATCATACATTTAAAAAAAGCACCACACGAAACAGCACAAGGATTTTTTAGGCGAGCTGTCAGGAATCACTTCTGGAGTCATTCCAAAAACAAGGTAAACTCCAGGCAGACAACGTGAAAGCTAAAGGGATTACCGTGTGTGTGTGTGTGTGTGTGTGCATGTGTGTGTGCATGTGTGTGTGCGTGTGTGCGCGTGTGTTAGATGTTTACAGTTATTGCACTTTTCTTATATTTCAGATAATTTACATTTTAAAACCTTGATTTGCTGATGCTACAAGAGCCAGTGTACTTGATTTGTGGTGTTCAGATGCACACTGTTTTATTGATAGTGTGTGTGTAAGATGTTTACACTTATTTCACTTTTCTTATATTTCAAGACTCAAATATTTGATGAATAAATTTGGGAATTTAATAAATATTGACATGACAAAAAATTTGAAACCCTTACAGTTGCATATTTGTTTTCAGAAAGGAATTTTTCCTGTTTTTCTGACTTCCTTTTCTGACCTTTTACTCACCTCAAGTTGCCTTTTGGGACATACATGCATACATACGTACATATCATACTTGCCTGTTGAGAGGAGTTTATTTCAGCCTCATATAAAATCAACAATAATGATAATAACAATATAAAAGCAAATACAGCTCTGGTATCGGAATAGTATCGGTATCAGCCGATATCCAAATTCAGGTATCGGGATCGGATCGGAAGTGAAAAAGTGTGGATCAGTGCATCCCTACCTACAAGTACCCTAACTGCTGTTAGGTACTGGGATGAAATCCTCAGAGCCATTGTCAGACCTTGCAGTGGGCCCTGGGTTCCTCCTGGTGCAGGACAATGCCCTGGCCTCATGTGGCCAGAGTGTGTAGGCAGTTCCTGGATGACAAAGGTATTGATGCCATTGACTGCCCCTCGGAAGTGCATAAAGGCACGTGGGAGCCATACACACTACGAGTCACATTATGAGTTGCCATGATTAAATTCACGCAAGTTGGATCAGCCTGTGATTAAATTTTTTTAAAATTTTCGGTGTGATTTTGAATCTAGCCCTCAGTCAGTGGGTGATTTTGGTTTTGGATTTTTTCACATATTATCTGTCTCGTGAAAAAATTACAATAACTTATTTTTATAAAAGTTACCTACTGCAGCTTTAATGTCATATATATATCTTGTCATGTTATTTTGGCTAGCTCGGTTTTCCTATTTGTAACAAGAGACGCCTGTAGTTCCACACCGATGTGGTAGAGTGGTATGTGCTGGCACACAAAGCAGTGGTGGCATGTGCAAAGATAGCAGTAATGAGAGGGGGAGCTGATTAAAAAAATGAGCTGTTTGGATTGTGTGGAAATGTCACATTTGTATTCTGATTCTTGGGTTACAATCAATTACATTTGCATGTACAACTAGTCTAACATAAAACTGGTTAAGGATTATGACTATTATATTTCTATGTCATGAAGGCAGTGGAGGATGTGTTAAACTATTCTGCTAGACTGCATGAAAAATGGATGCCGGTAGGAATGCTGTCAACAAGTAAAGCATCAGAAAAGTGCTAGTTCAATGACAATTATTTGGGCAGATGCTTCATTACATTACATTATATTTATTTGGCTTACACACACTATCTAAAGCAAATTATAATAGGTTTGAGTGCACTTATCTTGTAGAAACACCACCAAAAATTGCAAGAATCATGCAAGTACATTCACTTCATCAAATAGGCTGAACTGCCCACTGCCTCCATGTTAGCATCGAATCACATCGTGATTGACAGCTGAGCCCTGCTCGCAAGTGAGTCAGCTGGGTGGGACCACGGTGCTAACCCCAATCACTACTGTGCAGTCAGTAACCCAAAAATAACAACTGAAAAATGCGACTGAAAAGCCTCTAGTGTAAAAAAGACTTAAGACTAGTGTTTCAGGGCCTTTTCTGGCTTATAATGTGATCATCTTTCACATGAAAATATCAGATTTGCAGACTAAAAAAAATACTTTATACTGTAATACTGTATAGTAATTGGGAACTTTGCGTCATTCCATGACCTTTAACGGTGACTTAATCATATTTTTCTCATATATCAAAATATATGGAAGGGACTGTCTAGGCAGAATAATGTTTTTATTTCAAAATATGCCCACATCATCATACCCAGCTGTGCAAATATCAGAACACACGATGCAATGTTAAGTTTCTGCCATTTCTAGTTCTTCTTCTTTGGTCAGCATTCAGACAGCCAATGCTCTGAAGCTCAGGTGATGGGAATGATTTTACATTCAACATTGTGCACGACAAATCCGACCAAACCCTCAACCTGATTTTCTGGGGTTAAAGTTAAGTAATAATATGACTTATTTGATGTAAGCTAACCAGCTTTAATATTTCAAATAGATTCTTAGATTTACACTCAGTACAGTTTGGTTCAAAAGTTATAAAATAAAAAAAATAAAAATGTAAAAATATACATACTAAAAACATAGCATTAAGCATATCTGTATTTCTGACGGCATGGTAGCTTGTGTCAGAGTGCTGAAAGTAAGCTTAAGGACTAAAAGCGGCTTTAAAATTAATCGGGCCCTGTGTGGGATTAAAGGCTGCTGTAGAGGCCAGAGGAAGCTGGATGCGCCCCCCGTGAATGTGAATTTAGATTTCTCCAGATCTGCCACTGCAAATACAACTAAAACAAATGCAACAAAGGCGTTTAACTCAAAGCTGCAGATGTACTGAGGTATATTAAGAGTCACAGATATATCTAATATCTAATTTAGAGATTGTGTTGCTTGTACTAATGCCTATTCAAAAACATCTGCACAGTATCCCCACAAACAGTAAAAATAAATAGTATAGTCTTTAAAGCAACATTATGTAAGCCTTGGCATTTGTTGCGATTTGGCACCCCCACCCCATTTAAGACCACAATACCACTGTAGTAAATATGAAATCAGGGAGAAATTTTCCCCATAAAATATGATCCAGTTTCACCAAAATCAGTGACATAGTTGGTGGTGTGTGACTCATTGCAATAAAGCATTAGGCACCCCAACCTGGCGCCATTTACTCAGTTAAAACTCAGTGTTGAGTGAAAAAATATTTTTAAGCTGTTATTTTAAAGATAGAAATCATGTGGCTCAGAGGCAGACTTCCATTAATCGGAAGGTTGTTGGTTTGATCCCCGGGTCGTCCCGCCACGTGTCGAAGTATCCTTGAGCAAGATACTTGACCCCAATTGCCCCCGATGCTGTGCATTGCCGTGTAAATGTGTATGAATGCATTAGTTGTTCGATGGGCTTTGCCATCACTGAGGCATGTAGTGTAAAAGCGCTTTGAGTGGTCGGAAGACTAGAAAGGCGCTACACAAGTACAGGTCCATTTACCATTTACCATAATGTTGCTTTAAATGACCTAACAGAAGATAGTTTTAAGCCTTAAGTGGCTGTCTGGAAGCTAAAAAACACAGTCAAAAACATGAGAAAATATAATTAATAATTAAATTGGCATTTTAAATATTGAAAATTACTTAATGTTTGATAATTTTGGCAAGTTTGAATTTGTTTAAGAGATTTATGGGGGAAAAAGCAGAAAAAAAATATTGATGTATGATTTAATAGCAGTTTTTTTGTGCTTGTACATTTTTGCCACAAAGGTGTCCAGAGGGTAGTAAATTTGAGCAGGGCACAAGAGTTAAACTAAATTATATTGTGATTAAAGTTTAGATTATTATATATGATAATTTTAAGATACGGGCACAGTGAAGATGTGAACACGTTAACAAGGTATATTCACAGAGCTTTCACTCTACGCAGTACGCAGTTAAAACAACCAAGGAGCTACTGAGAAGAAAACAATGTCAAGAAATAATAAATGAGCCTATTAAGTGTGTACAATTGTTTTAAAAAAATAATAAAATACAAAAGAAAAGGGTTAGGGTTGGGGAGGGCTTTTTCTCCAGCAGAAAATCATACTGTTGCTAGCTAGCTCATTAATAAATCTATTAATAAAGCTCTGTCCCTAAAAGCTGAAAGTTTATGAAAGTATAAATGAAATATATTTTATAAATATAAAATATACAAAAGGGTTGGATTTCCATATAAAAATACAAAGAAATTGTTTTTTTTTATTCTTTGGCATACATTGTTAAATAGGTGAGAAATATGAAAAAATGCATTTTTCATTCCATCTGGACATTAAATCTGAGTCACATAATTTAAAAATGTAATCTTAATAACCAGGGTTTCACCATAAATGCATCACAATCTTTCCGCATGCTGGTGCCCTTTTTGGTTTTTCACCCCTTGCCCCTCAGAAAGCCTGAGTCTGCCACTGCTTTACACAGTCCAATAACATTAATAATCCTTTATTATTATGTATTATTAATAAAGCACGTATCTGTATTGCAATATCAAAACATTATCCCAGATGCATTTAAAGATTATCAGCCCAGGATCTTCAGTGATCCTGCTGATTGTACACAATCAGCAGTCTACATGATGATTCTATAGTCTACTTGAACAGATGACACCGACTAACGATTGCTCCCACTGTATCAGTGTTGGATAACATGGAGACTGATTACAACCGCTATAGGCATTATGAAAGCGCGATGGTGATTATGACTAATACACGAATCACTTACAAAAACAGCTACAACGTATCGTTTCAACACATTTCAATTCTACAACAAAAATACAAAAAGTGTGGTTGTTTACATATCGTCTCCTGATGCTCTTATCATTACACCATCGTATTATTATCAGTCATTAATATAAGATGAACGTATACTCCATATTTCACAATATTCGAATAATTGCTGTTTTTCTTGCGGCGTTTGTTTCATAATTAAAGCAATGCGTTTGAAAGTGGGAACAATAAAAGGGGCGGTAGGTATACCTGTCTGCAAATGGCGCTGAAATGCATAAAAACCCCCCAAAAATGTCAACAAATTCTCTCTCATCAACTCACAGTGTGGTGTAAAATCACTCACCCTGCTTCGCTCAGATCATGCAGCAGAAGAAAAGATCCTGTGTTAAAGCTCACCGGCCACTATTCCTCACAAGCACCAGATGAACAAAGTGGTAATTCATAAGCGTTATCAAGCGGCTTTTAACAATGTGTTTAGATAGCCTACTACCAGGAGCAAACGGTAAAATGGTGCCTTTGTACCCTCAATATTGTCTGACAGGCAGCCAGAAGAGACGCAATATGCATGATCTTTCCTTTTAGCCGTATTTTTAAAATATTATTTTTTTAATTAAACTACTGTTTCCAAGACCCAGAATTAACTTTAAGGCTCGACCTTATGGTGTTAAAATACAATCAATGATGAAAAAATTATGATTTGCAAATGTAATATTACATCTACAGGAAAGAAAACAAGAAAAAATTATTTTATTTTTTTGTTATTTTATTTGTTGTTATTATGTGGCTGCCTATCATGGTTCATCTTAAAATGTATTCCATTACATCAGTGTTTCTCAATTTATTTACACCGCATACCAACTCAACAAAATATCAGGCCTCCAAGTACCACCATTATGACGTAAGCAGACCCTATTGAAGTATGGGCAGTTCACTCAGGAGGCAGCTTTATTACTAATAAGGAGAATGTTGTTGAATCCTGAACGGAACCGGTTTAATAACCAATGCTAATTTGGTGGAAAAGGGGTACTCCTGGTCCACACTTCCCAATCCATCTTATATCGTTTTCTGCTCTGATTTGGTTGTTTTCATTTAGCGGATTCTTGCAAATGCCATTACTAGCGCTAATTAAGAGTGCACTTTGACATTTTTAATGCCAAAATACAATTACAGCTTTAAAGGAAACAAAATAGCCAGGCTGAACAGATTAGTTGAAACATCCAACCTGTAAGACAGCACACAGGGATTTTACACCCTTATACAACCATTTGCCTCCCCCTCCTTTGTACAGGAAGGTGGAGCTTTGTATGTAATGAGGCAAGTGTAGTCCTGGAAGCAGTCAATAGGAGCAGTGCAGAGAGCAGCCTGCTCCAATCACAGCTCTCAGAGCTGCTGTTCGTGGCAGAGCTCTACCATCAGTAACTAAGGGTCCATGTGCCATAAAAATCAATACATCCATTTTCACTCAGCGATTGGAAACAATGTATTTGTGAAAGAGGAGGAATGTTTAGGCCATAAGTAAGTCATTTGAATTATTTAATTAATTAAATTTAATAGCAGCCAGTGTAGTGCACTGATAGGATTGCAGATACAATCCCACACATTTGGACACTATTTGTTACATAATAGACAGGAATGGGGCTACAGTCTGTATGCATGTGAAACAAGGTTCTGTGATCCTATCTGGTATCACTCAGAACCTCGATATAATGAATAACAAAAAGCAGTGTTTATAGTAAGGAGCTGGGGAGGATGAGATGAGATGTAGGCTGCAGAGATGGAGTCAGGATGTAGTCAGCCTAGCTTAGCATAAAGACTGGAAACAGGTGGAAACACTTAAACACTCTGTTTAAAAAAAGTTTTTAAAAAACTGCCAAATCTAAAGCTCCTAATTAACACAATATATCGTGTTTGTTGAATGTGTATACAAACAGCACAGAAAACAGCAGTTTGTGGTTTTAAGGGGTGCAGAAACTGTGCTATTCCTGAAGTATTTGTCACAGTTTGGTGCTACCTGTATTGAGACCAGAACCTGTGCTCAATGGCCGCTATAGCTGAAGACACTGCACAAAAGTACTGATGGATGGATACACCGATGATCATCAAGGCATAGTTTCAACTGACATAACTCCCCCTAAAAACTACACTTTGTTTGCCACTGAAAATGTGTTAATTTCTATTACCTAGATAATTCAGATGACTCTGTTGCAGGCATTTGTCTGCAGTTTTCAATTCTTAGGTCATATAAATCTTGGTTAAAGAGGGCAACAAGGGTTAGCTTAGACTTTTATTTTATTTTGTTGTTTGATATTCATGTCAATTTTGATGTCCAAATTATGATACAAGGAGGAAATAGAATACTTTTGAAACAATTTTAGCCATGTTAAAACTGATAGCCTACAAGCCTGTGCAGTGGCCACTGTGAAATTTCTAGTTTCCGAACACTAACCATGTTCAGATATTGGCCAGACAAAACTCCTAAGGCTATAAAACTGAGCAATGGTGTGTTTTATTCCCTATGAATTAAACTTTTCATTTCTAATAGGTAGAATTAGTTTTTTGAAGATTATGTTTTTGCTTCAAAAGTTCTGTAAAGTCTTGTTTTAAGACAGAAAAATTAGACAAAATGTTTTATGTTAGTAAATTAACAACTTTTATTTTCTAATTGATATGGCACATGATCATAGTATAAGCAAAATAATATCAGGCAAGTTAAAAGTTCCATTTTTGTAATAAATAACATGGTGGCACCTGACATGAAAATCCGTTGGATGGGTGGATGCGAGTGGTTTGTAAAGGCCCTTTCCAATTATCATTGATCAAAATATACATGAAACTTAAAAACATTATTTTACTCGACCAGACGTTTCCACCATATTTCCTGAGAAAAGTCTAAAAAAATGGAATTACTCAATAAAAGAACCATCAGCATTAAACCAGACTTCCGTTTCCCACAGTGTTAGTTTTTTTTTAAATCAGCAGCAACATGCACACTCAGTCAGCACAAAAGAAACTACCAGCCAAGTAGCACATCAGTAGTGAGACATATGAACTAGGTCTCCACAGATACAGCAGCATGGTTATAATTGGCATATCTAAGCCACTTTTGTCTGGGGAGCTGTCTGTTCAGCACAATGCTCCCTGTATAAGCAGTCTGTACAGTCAGATCTCCTCACACATTCATACAGACACTCCTTCCCCCATCACTATACAAAAGGCCACCCTTTGCCCTCGCAGCCCCCTCCCTCTTTCACTATCACTAGCAGCCTCCCCTTCCCCCCAGTTCAAGAAGCAGGTGCTGAGCCAGACTGTCTACTGTCTGCTGAGGTGAAGTGGCAGCACGGAGCAGAGCGGCTCCCCAGAGAGGAGCAGAGAGAACACCACAATCCAACACCAACACCCATTCCCTCCACCAGCGTGGAGTGTACCACCAGTTTATATACCAAACATCATATAATGATATCTGGTGTAGAGAGGAGCAAGGAAAAGATTAAAGCAATTGGACTGAAGCAACGTGACAAAGTTAAAACCCACAGAAATGTGTCTATAATTCTATTGCAGATCCTGAAGTTACCAAATATGTAAGGCAGATGTATTGTGTATACAATTAAAAACCAGGCATCTAGCATTTTTCAATTTATATATGTGAGATTTAAAACATTAATATAGCAGAAAGCAAGTATTTGCTATGTAAAGACAGACAGGATGATGGCATCCTGAGCAGAGAATGACATCACACTCCCTCGGCCTGTGTTACTATCACAGCCTCTCTCTGTCGTTTGCATCCTGGTTAAACAAAAGGTCTGTAAGGATCTTTTCCATTATTTTATCAGATACATAAAGTAACAATCTGAGCATGTCATGGTTTATGTTACAGCCACTGAAAGCCACTGAAAGTATTTTTGCATCTAACTTTAAGGGTTTATTTCGACCAAACCAACAGTGGTGATTGCTAGAACAGTGGAAAAACTGACAGACTGTTTTGGTGAGTTTTATTTTATTTCTGTCCCATTGCTTTAGTCTGACATGCTGGTGCTCCATGCGACATCCAGTGGCAAATGTATATATTCTTTTTGTTAGTTGTATGTTCTATGAGTTGATGTCTTTGGTCAAGTACAAATCCTGCATAATTATTAGCCCAAGGACAACATGGGACTGAGTGACTGAGCAAGTATAGAAATACTTCAAGAATATCACCAGCCAATAATGGACAAATAATAGCTACATTCAGAAACATAAGTCAGATTGTCTCTATAGGAGAGCCCTTTTAGAATCCTGTAGGATTCAGTAATGAATCCATTGAAAAAGGGGCTCCTTCATTCTATGTTGTTAACAGTAAAAGTATTCATGACTCACTTAATTACTCTTGATATTTAGCCTGTCCCTGGCTCCGTCTGTCATACCCACGTGCTTCAAGTCCACCATCAAGACCAAGAAAACCGGAACAACCGGTCCAAATGTCTACAGCCCATTGGAACTCACCTAGTAGTAATGAAATTCTTTTAACAGCTAGTCAAGGATACATCTGCTCCTCACTGCCCAACACACTGGATCCCTACAGTCTGTCTTCTGTCCCAACCGATCAACAGAGGATGCCATGGCACACATCCTCCACACCACCCTATCTCACCTGGACAAGACAGGGATCTATTTAAGATGCTGTTTATTGTAACTGTTTAAGACCATAGTTCCCTTGTCACTAAGCTCAAGGACCTGGCAGATCGGTGTAAACTGTATATACAGCATTTAGTATTTATATTGACTGTGTCAGTGCACAGTGAGATGTACGTATACTCCATATGTATGTCCACGTATGTTAAAAACAGTGTGCATTTAAAAAAAATATATAATCTATAATGGAAATAACTGAATGTTTTAGTGTTACAGGATTATTGCACAGGGATTGTTTCCTCAGCTTGCACAGTACATCCTCTGCTGGGCCTTTTTCATGATGGAGTCCATATTGGATGCACACTTTAGGAGCTCTGAGATTGTGGATCCCAGAAATCTAAAGGTTTCCACAGCAGACACAGTTATGTTGTCATGGCCGTTTCCTCCAAACCAGAGTGGCTGATCTGACCGTTGATTCCACCTCCTTTGCTGTTCTACAAGTGGGATTTCACACCCTGAGTGTGATGTAAATCACATTTGCCCCATGTATGAACAAAGTAGTCCCTCTCTCTTCTATTGACATCTATGCTTTGTGGCCTCCAGCTGAGCATGTGTTCTTTAATTACCTCCCTCCACTTCCACTCAATTACCTCTGTGCCAGCACAACAATAGCCACCAGCCTGGTCACAACACCACACATTCAAGCTTGCTGATGTGTTTCTGTGGAGAGAAATCAAAATGAATGCAGAGGATTTATGGTTTACCATAAAGCATTTAGGGTTAAGAGTTTAGCCTGTTGTAGTAATTGATTCAATGACATTTCCGTTCTCACAGATCTTTTAGGGCATGGGATGCCTTATTTTATCAGACAAAGATATAAATCGTTGCGAATAACATAAAGGATGTCCAAAATGT